TGTAGTGTAGAATCTTTTCTCTTGAAATATTCTAATTTAAACTCTTCTATCACTACCAATTAATTCTGTTTCAGGCCATCTTTGTCTTTGTTGGAAAGATTCTACGTTAGTGTTTCTGTGTCTTCCAATGACAAGGGAATTGTCACTCAGCTCTCTGAATAATTCTTTCATAATGCTTTCAGCTTTCATTATCACTTGCCTTCTTCTCAGGACTGTAACATATCAGACAAAATATATTACAATATAAAAATCTCTCTCTCTCTCTCTCTCTACATTAACCAATTCAGAGTTGATTATAGCTTCTAGTAGTTTGTCAAAAAAAAGGGTAGAACGTTAATAGGCTAATAGAAGGATCAGACAGTTCACCTGAGTTCTTAAAGACAAGAACTATAGAATAGGATTTCCAACAAGCAGGAAAGCAAGAAGCAGCAAGGCATTTATTGTAGAGTTTAGAGAGGACAGGAGCCAGATCAGGATCACATTTCTTTATTGCAGGGATACCATTAACTCTACACACTTTGTGAAGATTCAGTTTAGATATGATAGCAGAAGTCATGGACAGTTATATGCATCTCAATTCTAATTGAAAAGTCAGGTAAAGATCCTACAGATGAGTCAAGAATAGATTTGGAAGATAGTATGAGCAGAAGATGATAAAAACTCAAATTGAGTAAAGAGATGATAGATAGAAGTGTTATCTGAGTTAACACACTATCTGACCTGGCATCTTAGATTCATTCACTTTCTCACTGCCATAACATACCTTCTATATGCTTTTCTATAAATATTTTTGTGGGAATTATTCTAATGAACTTTCCTCTTTGCTACCTCAACTTTAAGTGTAGTGCTAGATTGGCAGCTTGGTGTTATCATTTTAGTTGAAATTGCTAGATATTCTATGCTAACAGTTTCTTATCTCGCACTTCTCACTTGTGGAACTCTCTTTGCTCTGTTGCTTTCCAGTCAACTTTGATCTTCAAAAATTTAAATGCAATGTCAACTGTTATTTTTTGTCTTCTCAATTCCTGTTCTTTTATTATTCACCTCAGTAATATTTTGCTTTTTCTCATATTCTTTCACATTTAGTAAACCTTAGTGGTTTTATTGACTTGCTTAGGGAGAAATATATAAGAAAAAATAATATAGAAATGCAAGACAAATTATTTACTATTTATGTAACTTATGATATCATGAGTTGAATTTATTAAAAAAAACTATCTTAAAAGCTGCCCTATCAGAGGAGAGATTTTGATTAGGCCTTCATCACAATAGGTAAAAATGAGTATATGCAATAGGCAACAATAAACTACAGAAGAACTTAAAATTGATTTCTGCATTTAAGTATTGCATAAATATTAAAACTTGCCTTGCAATGATAATTCTTCTGCCACCACTTAATTTAAAGACAATTTGCTGTACATGAGTGACTTTTGCTGGATTTCACAATTAATTTCAATTATTCCCTAATTTATTTCCAAGTTATAAAAATTATTATCATACAAAAAATTTGTCACAAAAATCATATTAAAAAATTACTGAAAACAATTACAGTAATGAAAACTTGTCAATCCCAAATTTCAGGATTGTGTGTTCAGATTTGGCCTGGAATGTTTTAAATTTACTCAGTCAACCTGATTCCAAAATGTTATGATCTGTTGGGCTACTGCCTCTAAGAGTAAAGTTGAAAAGTGTGATACAATGACACTAACATTCACATTTATTGTATAGAAGTATATGAAAACTTTTGTGTGTGTGTGGTCCAACAAGTGTGTTTGACCATTATTAGTGTATGGTGTGTGTTTATGTGTGAGGGGGATGATTTGTTTAGTGCTGATTTAAATTTGTCTGAATTTTTTTTCTTGTATTTGTAGGTAGACAAATTTAAACCAACACTAAACAAATCATAACTCCACACATAAACACACACCATACACACATAAGGGAAAATACACACTGTTACTGTATAGATTTTGTTATAATAATATGATATATAGTATATATGGAGAACAAATATATACACACATATTGTCAAAAACAAACACACTAGACAGACCATACACACACAAACCCTATATACCATACAAAGTTTTTGTGTGTGTGTGTGTGTGTGTTATGTATGTATGTATATATATATATATATATATATAAGTACAGGATTGGTACAGATGGAATAAAATTCTGGTACCCAAAAACACTATTTTTAAAGAGTGCTCAATACTGAGTAAAGCAAATAATATTTATTCAAAATATGCATGTTATAACATCACTACAAAAATTGCAATTTTGTTTCAGCACTACAGAAAGGGTTCTAAGAGTTCAAAAACCAACAAAACCCACTCAGTAGGGGGAATATTGTTACCTAACCTATGATGACCAATCAGGATACAAGTATATGGTAATTCAAAATAATATGACAATATATCATAAATACAATCAATTAGTGTGTTAAAGTTAAGATTAGATAAAATTAGAAAATAATATAACTAATTAAGTTTTAATTTCACGATTAAATTAAAAATTGAAAATGTCAAATTCTAAATTTAACTGAGCATCAAGTTTAATATTATTACAAAAGTATTCAGAAATTAAACTAGGAGAAGAAATATATTTTATTGTTCGTAATGAAGTGTCAATTTATCCATTAAGTTTGATGCTGATGTAAGAAGTATCTATGATCACTACACATATATGATACATGGAAGTCTGAATTCAAATAAAGAGGTAGATAGGGAAAGGAATCTTCAAATGACAGGACAAACACATTCACATCCTAATACACAAACACATATATATAATCAAATATATGAGCACGAAAATATAAGGACAGATATTCACACAGGAAATAGAAGGAAAAATTCGAAAAAGAAAAATAAAGAATAATAATAGGAAGAAGAATAAAGAGAGAAAAACACATAAAACATGCAAAAGAAAATTATGTCAGACACATGTATACACAGGTAAAAACATATACAAGCAAACACACACACACACACACAATATACAAATAATCACTTACCAAAATTCAAGCACAAATACATTAATAAAACAACACAAACCAACTGTCAATATTTTACATACCCAAACATATAGATAAAAAAAAGCGGATCAAATAAAGGTAAAAAGTACAAGTAAATGCATATGTATGATGCATACATATACATAGTTAAAATACGCATATTGGGCTATAGACAAAGCAAAGGAAAAAGACATATATACATACATACACACACACACACACATATATATATATATATATATATATATATATATATATACATATACAAAAAACTGAACAACTAAATTCACATGTCCACACAAAATATGCACACAAACATACAAAAAACCAGCATATATACAAATATAAAAACACATACCCACATATACACAATATATACATACACACACATATATATATATATATATATATATATACAAATTCATACACGCACATATGTACATATATATAAACTAACACACAAACACACCTGCACAAATATATGTACCCAAGCATATACACACACATAAACAGATGTAGAAACTACCATACATACATACATAGATGCTTACCTCGATAATCATAATGAATTCAGAGTCCAAATTAATGCATAAACAATCACAACTATTCAATATCAACTTAACAATCTATATCTGATTAAATTGCTGGCAAATAAAGATAGGTTATATTTAATGTTGGTGGTCAGTTAAAAAAATAAATATAAATAAACAAAATAAAGAACCAATAAATAATAATAATATTATTAACTTACAATACCATTATATTATCATTCATAATATTATTACTTATATTGCAAGGTAAAAGGTGAACTATGTCTACAGTTAACAGTAAGTTCATTCCTTTGATTTAAGAGATTAATCCTAGCTTTAAATCTAATAATTTCCAATTTTTCATTGCTACAAAGATAACATAATGCATTTAGGCAATTATAGGTTTAAGCCCTCCTAATTAATTTCCATTTAACTCTAGAAGTTTTGTTTTTCTGTTTTAAACTCCAAAAGTATTCAGACATTTAAGTAATGTCTTTATAAGTACTATTGTTGAAGGATAGTACATGTTAATACCAACGGGTTTTAAACAAATTTTTAGTGCTTCCAATGTAAAATTTTTTTCATACTCAGGTTTTCGAGTGTAGAGATAGTCCTAAGATAAACTAGGGAACTCAATTGTTTCGTAGTGGGCAATCATTGGAATTTCTACAATTACATCCACTGGTATTATTATTATTATTATTATTATCATTTACTGCACCATTGCAATATATCATGCTTTTTGAATTTTTATACTTGTCGAAGACTCTATTATTGTGTCTTTTAATTATTTTCTTAAGATTGTCCATACAACAATAGCTTAATTTAAATGTATTATTATTAAATATTTTATTAAGTGGATTAATTTTGGGAAAATGTTTATTAATAATTTGTAGTAATGTTATAACATGCATGTGATAATTTTGAATATATATATATATATATATATATATATATATATATATATATATACACACTACACACAAAAATGGGGAAAAGTTTAAAATGATAGAGAGGACATAAAAGATAAGTTAAAAACCTCATTCCTCCCCTTTCTCTGACGGTGGAGTAATGCCTAACAACTCAGATTGAAGAATCAGAGAACCAACTTCAAATTTCAGTTGAATCCATTACATTCACTTATGTGCTAATACCCTTGGGAAAGGTATGAATCATCTTCTTCTCCCCTAGCTATGGGTAAATAGCAGAACAGACCAGGTTCTATAGCCTTGGATGGCAACTGGTCTATCTACTGCGGGAAAAAGGAGTAATGGATAGCAGCTTTGATTGTGGATTCAAAGAGCCAAGTCTTAATTACTATTACTGTAATAGTAAAACTTATTTCTAATGAATTTTTTTCTGTTGTAGTGTAGTGCTGATATATATGAAAATATTGCCTAATCTATTTATGGTGTCATTACATTTAAATCTAATTTTCTTTGTTTTATTTCCAGTTGTGCCCACAAGAAATATTTGTATCATTTACCAAATGCCAGTGTAGTGGTTCCATTTCATAATGAACACTGGTCAACATTATTACGGACAGTTTACAGTGTTTTAAATCGATCACCAAAACATTTGATTCATGAAGTTATACTAGTGGATGATTTCAGTACCAAAGGTATGTCAATTTTTGAGTTTTTTAATAATATTCTTTATTTATACTTAAAAAAAATATTTTTTAAACTAATGTGTGTGTGTGTGTTACACTGGTATACATTCAATATAGGATTCAACAGAATTCCCTCAAATATTAGCATCGTTTGTTTGCGAGTGTGCCACATACCTGTTTCAAAGATTTGCATTTTTTACAGTTACAGCTGAAACATTAATGCATTTAGTTTTTCTTTATCCTAGTTAATATTCAAGAAGCTCTGATAGTTTAAAATGAATGTCTTTCTTCAGTGAAATTAACTTTAAATTTATATTTTTAATTTTATGTGACACCACATCTACAAGATCCATTCCAATCTATAGGTAATGTTTTTGAATTACTCCAGAATGGATAATGTCTTTCATAACAATAATGAAATCTTATAATTAAATGATAGATGAAGAACCAATGGAAAATTTCAAATATCCTTTAAATTTTCAGCATTTTTTAAGAGGTTTTCTCTTATTTTATTTTTTACTAGCAGGTTTTGCCAACTCACTATCATTTAAAAAATTAAGATGTATTCACGACTTGAAATCTTTGAAACAAAAATTTTAAATGAACATTTCATCCATAAATTGGCTTGTTATAGGTAAGAAAAGTTTTACAAATAGATGCCAACTTGTTGAAGGCCAAGTAAAATGCAAATTTCTAACACTTTTCTGCACTATATAAGACAATATTCCTAAACAGAACTATTTTTAATATGAAAATCAAAACAATCCTTGAATAAAAGAACAGTAATAAAAGGACAGTTAATTAATGAAATAAACTTTTTTAAAATTAATATGCAAATTAGTTAAACTTGAAGAGTGATATTGTATAGAAGTAGATAATATATAATACAAATATTGAGATTTTAGCATGTCTTTTTCAGTAATTACACGACTACTTATCATCTCTCAGTTGCATCTCTGTCCTTGGACAGAGTATGCCCAGGGGCTTCTCTGTCAAAGTACAGAGAGGCAACTGAGAAAATTATACTGAGAGGTGCTCAGCTCTGGGGAACAGCTGCCCCCTTCCATTGCACCAAGGCCAGTGCAACCAAGAGTTGTGGGGGCTGCAGGCAATTTTTGTTCTTGGTCTGGGTGTACGCACTTGGGTCCCTACCTTAAAAAAAACCTTGTGTCACTCATCTTAGTGGGGTAACAGAATAAATACCTAGTGTGTAAATTCCTCTATCTCAAGTGGTATACACATTCTGATACTTAGCAGTCACAGGGATCCATCCCTGCACTGTTAGAGTCACAGCTATGACTAGTTTGGACTGGCTATGACTAGCTTGGACAAGCTATGACCAGCTTAGACCAGTGGACCAAGTGAAGACACTCAGGTCCCCACGTTAAAAACCAACCTTGCGTCACAATCTGACTCAGTGGGAGGTCAAGTAAATACAGTGTAAATTACGCTCTCAAGTTGTTTGTAACACCTTATTTATCATCTTTCAGTTGCGTCTCTGTCCTTGGGTAGAGTTCACTTAGGGGCGACTCCGTCAAAGGACAGTCATAACTGGGGAAAATTATACTGTGAGGTGCCCAACCCTTGGGAGCAGATGTCTGAGGCTGCACCTTTTCACTGCACCAGAGTGAGGGATTTGTGCTCACACCAAGGCCTTCACAACTGTTGCATGTGCTAGGAGAATTTTTGTCCTTAGCCCAAATGTATACTCTCAGGTTCTCTACATTAAACCAACCTTTTGTCACAACCTGACTCCCTGAGTGGGTCAAGTTTAATCTTGGAATTCATGAGAAAATCGATTTCCAATTTCACATTTATTCATATAGATTCCATAATATAGGTTTTACTTAATTAGCTATTATGTTTCTCTAACTCTTCAAATGTTGAATGTATAACTAATTCTAATTTCCATTTTCCCATCTTTAAACTATAATAATTTTATTTTATAAATTGTCAGCTGTTATGTCACCCATGAAATAAAAATTGTTTGTACAAAAAATAAGGATCTATGTCCATCAAATCATCTGTAAATTAAGTGGCAGCAGAAGAATTATCATTGAACTTTTAAAAGGAATTAGCTTAAATGCCGCCTGATAGGGTGGCTTTTAAGCTAGTTTATAATAAAACATGTACTGCAGTTTTGTAGACCAAAGAAAAATAAGAGTTAATCCCCTTTTTAACCTCGCATAATCTGGCAACCCTGAATCTGAGCTCAATGAAAATCGTTCCCTCCACTTAACTTTTCTAGGGCTTTGGAATGAGCTATGAATCATTGAAATCAGACCAGTGAAGGAATTGCTTAGACACACACACACGATCAGAGTCTCTGTGTGGGTTCAGAAGTGGGCATGGAATAATAGATATGGTTTTTACAGCAAGACGGTTGCAGGAGAGATGTGTAGAACAGCGAGTAGATCTGTATCAAATGTATCAAATGTTTATTGATCTAACTAAAACATTTGATACTGTGAATAGGGCAGCTGTTTGGAAGATTTTTTAAAAAAAAACTTGGCTGTCCTGATAAATTTGTATCTATACTAATGCTCTTCCATGAGGATATGAATGCTGTTGTGAATTTTGGGGAGAAACTGGCAGAACCAATTACAGTGGAAAGTGGTGTGAAACAAGGGGATATACTGGCACCAACACTATTTGCTTTGTATTTTTCTATTGTGTTTATGATGGTCTTCAATGATTGTTCTAATATAGGAGTTCCAGAAGGCAATTTAACATCAGGCAAATACAAAGGTCTTGATGAACCTGGTTCTGTATCTGCTTTATGCTGATGATTGTGATCCTGTGGCTCACACAGAGGCCAGTATGCAGCATTTGATGTGTGCCTTTAAAACAACATGCACAGTGTTGGGACTAACAATTAGTTTAAAGAAGACAATTGTTATGTACCAGCCAGCACCTGCAGAGCCCTATTGAGAACCCAACATCCATATATATGGTCAGAGACTGAAAGTGGTCAAGCGGTTTATGTACTTAAGCAGCACACTAAGCATGACTGAAAATCTTGATGACAACATGTGTTTGCAGATAAGTAATGAAAGTGCTGCTTTTGGAAAACAACTCTGGAGTCACAACAGGATCTCTTTAGAGACAAAGTTAAAAGTCTATTATGCATGTGTGCTATCTGCTCTTCTGTATGTCTGTGAAACTTGGACTACATACAGAAAGCACATAAAATGTTTTGAAGATTTCTACCAACAATACCTAAGGAGAATCCTTGGTGTTGACTGGCAAATGTATGTTAGTGATGTTGAAGTATTACAACAAGCCCGGACTCAAAGCATAGAATTGATAATTTTCCAGTGTTGATTAAGATGGATTAATCAGAATGGAGAATGAATGGCTACCCAAGCAACTCCTGTATGGCGAACTCGTCAAAGGAAAGCGTCCAGCTCACAAATCAAAAATGATGTACAAGGGTTGTTTGAAAACATCTTTAAAGAAGTGTTGTACTGATGTTCTAACCTGGGAGAGCAAAGTATTGGATTGGAGAAAGTAAGGAGAGTGATTCATGCAGGGAAGAATTTGTTTGTGAAAGAACATGTTGAACATGAAAAGTTGGAAAGAGATATCCAGAAGGGGTACATAAATGAAGTGAAAGACAAAATGGATAATCAGATTTGTTTCAAATGTATTATATGCGACTGGCTATATTTGACCCCAGCTGATCTGAAAAGTCAAGAGAGAACACATCAATGTCACCTGAGAGCAGATTGCATGTTACTTGATAATACAACATGTAATGCATTTGGAAAAGTGTGCAAAAGTGCAGTAGGATTAAAATGACATGTTAAAATGACACAGCAACGATGATATAGGAAATGTTGTCAGAGATGTTTATGTCTGCCACACCTGTGCCAAGGAATGCATGTCTTTAGCTGGACTAAAAAGCCACATAAGAGCAACTCATTGATGAGATCTTTTACAGGTATTCAAGTAGTGGCAATGCTCAAATACAAGCTTGCAGCCATTGTGTATGTATGTATATATATATATATATATATATATATATATATATATTATTTGGTTTCTTTTTTTGTTTTACATATATAAAATTATTTCTTTTAAGCCCACAAGATAAATGACCTAACCTTGTAGCCATATATATATATATATATATATATATATATATATACACACACACACACACTATAATTATTCAGCTGTAATTTTGCTGTTGGAATTATGTAATTGTGTGTATTGAGGCTATTATGTCTAGTTATTAACAAATGGATCTGAATTATAATGCAATAAATGGGTATAATCACTTTTGCTTGCAAACTTTTAAGACCTATTATTTCAGGTAGTTATATAATTAGGTATACAAATGAAATTTTCATATATTTGAATTGAAGCTGTTTTGTATATTTACTAACAATGCTAAAGGAAAATTATAATTGTAGTTTTTGTATGTGTCTGTATATTTATGCTAAAAGGTTCTCGGCTCTGCCTATTTGATAAAATCTAACAATAAGTTCTTTCAAAGAAAATGTTTAACTTTTATATCATGTTAGGTGGTTTGAATTCCAAACAGTAATGGTAATATCAGTCATTTCATTATTAGGAAACATTGTACTCATTAACCAAGCAGCCAGTACTACTGTCAGTTGAAATTTATAAAATCTTTCTCTTAAAACAATTTTTCAGGAAAATAAGTTCAATAGCTGTTATCACTTTTTCTATTGTTGATGGGAGCTTCCTTCCTCCTAACCTTGTGGTTCTACAGAAGGATATCATGGACCGAGTGTGTGAGTCACGATGAGGTCTTAGAAAGGTTGCAAACTAGAAGAAGGCTTATACTTAATATTAGAAAGAGGCAGCTAAAGTTTCTGGTTAATAAGGAAAGGATTGTTGAATCTGATACTCACAGGTCAAATAGGGGGGAAAAAGAAACGAAAGAAAACAGTGCGTGACATACCTGGTGAGCTTCAGCAAGTGCATGACAGAACAGGGTCTGGGGGAGGTGGCAGAGGAAAGGAGCTTGTTGAGAGCTG